TATATATATATATATAGACTCAGATAATCATATATTCAATTGTGGCAAACTAAGAAACAGTGTGACAGCAGCTTAAAAACATTAAATGACTGCCAAAGAAAAATAAAGAGATTTGGAAGTGGTGTTGACTAATTTGTGCTTCAACAAAGTAGCTAATTAATTACTTGCAATTTACCACTAATGTTCAATTTTATTACTAATCCATGTGAACAATGCAGGGCCCCCTTGAGGTAAGATCATAATCAACCTTCTGGCTATGAAAGAGGTTTTGTCCAAAATGCGGTTTGCATTTCCAAATCTTGTCCTTTCAACTTAATACAATTTTAACAATACTGCAATAGGTCTCTCCAGCAAATGTAGGGATTCAATGTAACTTTACATTTTATGCATACTTATCAAAAAATTATGAGAAGCTATGTGTGCTGAAGTCCTGTTTTATTTGAGCGTTTTGCACAGTTTTATTTAATGTGTCCTCCATTCTCAGAACAACATCACTGGCGGCACAACAACAGTGCAATTTGACTGAAACCGAAAAGACAGAAGGGAAATTAAGCGCTGACTGTAATGGGCTTAACGTTAAATTCATTTGCTTTTATTCAACTCGGATCGGAGATAAATGGATAATAGACGTTGCTGCTTTCTGCGAAAATATTCTTTCAAACGGTTTACAGTGTCAGTAAAATTAAAAACAACAGAAGTACATAAAACATAATGCTGTCAGAAAAGGTGTCTAATGGACTAAAAGCTGCGACACAAGTGGCGTGAGGTTGATTTACTGATGCTGCAGCCACTGTGATTAAATATGGTTATGTACTCAGCATACATTTATCTTTGTCATAACACTGTGAAAGTCTCAGCATCACGCTGATTGCGAGTGCTCATATTATTTCCTTTTGTCACCCTCTTAATTACCTCTTACTAACTATTCTCACAAAGATAACCTGAGTGTGATTACATTTAACGCACCTGCTTCATAAGGATGTAATTTGGCCTGAGATGAGCTCTTAAAAGGCAGGTCATGCGGAATACAGGATGATGGCTGTTAACCCCTGTGAGTGCCGATGAAGAGGCATAATACTCAGTGCGGGTCATTACGTCTCTATAGGATCATTTTCGTAATTAAAAGAGTGATTTGGCAAATGATGTATCTGAAATACCTAAAATTTGGCCTGAGGGTGGCAGCAGAAGACAGGTCAAAGTGAGGAAGCCATTCCTGTGTGCAAAGGTCCTTTTGCACATTTAAGACTCAACCAGGCAGATTCCAATTTAAAGATAATGCCACTGAGATTGCATTTCTTTTATGTTTGGATTGTTCTATTTTAACAACATTTAAAATCCTGGGAAATGTGCAAAAAAAAAAAAAAAAGCATACACTGTGACACATAAAAACCTACTATTGCTAATAGATATCAGGGATTTTCTGTTTGTAACATTTGGAATTCCCTTAATAGAATTTCTGAGTGTCTGAAGTTAGAAAAGACTTAACCTGACAAACTTTGTGGAGTATAAATGTGTTTTTGCAGATGCATGTTTGGTGCCATCTGGTGACTTCAAATTTTGAAATTGAAGGGTTCTTAGACAAAAAGAGAACAGCTGCTGTGATATTATGTGTGCTGCTTAAAGGATCATACTGCAAAACATCTCTAATCGGGAAGCGTTCACATATACTGCTGATACTATAGTCAGTTGTTGCATAAAGTCTTGTTTGTGAAGCCAACGGGGAGGAAGGGAGTGCCTCTTTCACAACTCCCTAAACCTCTGGGAGAGTATGCATTTAAGATCTGGATGTAGACAGTGTGTTGAAATGTGTGAATGTTTTCAGACGGTTCCCAAAGGAATCTGTTGCTAGCCCTTACCTGCAGCAAAATAACCAGTTGAGCAATACCAGGGAAAATGTAGTTTTACTCAAAACAAGATAGAACATGAAGTGTTTCACTGCCTACTACAGGAGTGGTGGGATTTGTTTAAAATATCTACAAGACAATCAATTAAACTATGAGAGCCTATGAAAGACATGAAAATATTAAAAAAAATAAAGATAAAAAATGAAAGTTTAATGTGAGAAGAATCTCCTATCAATACATCTCATCTGTGTTGCACATAGAAACCTGGCAATAATCAGCTGTCTAATTAATTGATATGTTTTGAAATTCACCTAATTTAAATCTTCTATGATGATTACTATGCAGCATTTACAGAATACCAGGTGCCCAAAGCGTCACTTTTTTTTAGCCAGAATTTTCTAATAACTGATAATGTGGACACGCCTGTGTTTGAACAAGTGCTGTGGAGGTGTAATCACACAAGAGACACTCTCTCCAGGATCTGAGGAAAAGAACTTGACGCTGCTGTCTGGCACAACGCTGGTGCGAATCTCTAAAAGGTAAATATAATAATCACACTCAGCAATAGGAAAATATCACTTGATTTATTGTGTAGAAAAAGTTTTACAAGTACTGTGGATCGTATTTCTCTTCCGCTATTTTGATGTTAGCACACCTACTTTGCCTACATTTGTTCTCTCCAGCGAGTTGGTGTAACTGCAAAAGCTCGCTTTTCACCTTGGCTTCTTCTCATCCAGCCATCATTTTAAATACCACTCATGTTTTCTGAGTATCCAAATAGAAAACACACACATTTGTTTCGCTCTGTTGGATCTACAAAACTGAGCTTTCACTCATTATTCTCTTGCAGTCAAGATGCCTGAAACAGCAGAGGCTGTGTCCGCCACAATTACAACCAACAGGCACTGCACCATAGAGATAACCAATATCAGCGGCAGCTACTGTCTCATTAACCCAAAGTAAGTCTTCAACTGCATCTCTAAGCTTACAACTTAGATTAAAGAATACATTGAAAGTACATTTGAGGTCTAACCCCAATGAGGTGAGGTGCAGTACGTTTCTATTTACTGTGTAGCACGCTGATGTTTGATGTTAAATTTGTAGCAATGGCATTTGAAAACTCCATGTAATTTCATATTGAACTGTTTAAAAAATAACCACGCTTGTTTTAATGTCCTATTCACTTTAAGATGCACGTTTCCATTTGCAGTGAAAACAGTCAGACACAAGAAAAGTTGACAAATGGAAACCTGCATAAGTATTCACACCCCCCTGAATTTGATTTTTCTTTTTTTTTCATATCACAATCCGAGGCAACTTGGACAGAAAAACTTGGAACAATGTAATGTGAAAGGAAAATGAAACCTGGCTTTCAAAACAATTTTCAAAGAAATATCTGAGAAACGTCAAAACTTTGTAAACTCACTTTTGACAGCAATTGCAGCTGCAGGTTGTCATGGGTGAGTTTCTGCCAGATTTGCTTATTGAAAGCCTGAAATCTTTGCCCATTCTTGTTTGCAGTCTTGCTCAAGCTTAGTCATATTAGACAGAGAGCATCCAAGAATAACACTACAGATTCTCAGTTGTCTCTATGTCTGGACTTGGTTGGCACATCTAGTATGTGAGTGTGCTTTGACTGTAAATGTCCAAGTTCTATTTTTTATGTAGATAAATGTTGGCACATTTGTCCTGTTTGAACAGCTTGTATTTATACACATATTGTGTAAAAATATTTCTTTTGTTTCTGTTATTCTAAATGTGCTGTGAGTAAACAAAATTTGTTGTGAGGTATTATTCAGATATTGATTTTAAGCTTAACCTGTAGCTCTGTTTTTATGGTTGTTCCAGCTTCCGAGATGCAAATGTTTTGCAGTTAGCAAAAGTTTTTCTTTTCATCAGGATTGTCCTGTAGTTTTTCCCTTCGATGCTTATAACATACCTGATCCCTTTTTGAGAAAAGTGATCCCAACAGCATGATACTTTCACCACCATGTGTCAAGGCAGGGATGCTGGGTTCAGCCAAGAGAGTTCAATTTTTTGGTCTCATCTGATCAGAGCAACTTCTTCCATATTCGTTCTGTGTTCCATATTGCTTGTGGCAAACAAGATCTTTCTTTAAAAATGGCTTTATTCTTGCTACTGTTCGTGTAATACATGCACACTTGTTAGATTAGTCATAAAAAATGGAAAAAAAACACATCATACTTTGTGTTTTTTTAATAAAATGACAAAATGTCAAAAGGTTTAAGGAATGTCAATACTTTTAAAAGGCACTGGTAATGTAAAAAAAAAAAAAGAAGAAAAGAATGAGTTGCACAATACAGCACCAGAATGCACATCAAGTATTTTGCCATGTGCGTCATGTTTCTGCATTTGTCTAGATTTGTCAGGACTGGCCATATTTTGGATGGGTGATTTTCATATGTGACATTATGTTGCTGAGAACATCTACCAATCTATCATGCACTGACACACACCACCTCATTGCACATCGCATGCAGGTAGAATCACTTTTGCTTAGAAGTCCATAGTAGTACACTTCTAGTCGTACTCCATCCATCAGTGTACACTGTTTTTCCAGCCCAACACTCAGAAAGAGCATCCCCAAACTTCAGGAAACTTTGCAAAGTTTTTTCTCGTTTTTTTACATTGCAACATTGTTGCAATGTCTTCAATATTGATTTGTAACTTGCTTTCCTTTGTAGGGTTTTCATGACAAGTGGCTTTTCGTACCACCCACCCCAGCCCACAGTTCGCACCCAAAAGACAGAAGTGTGCTCCTTCACTAAGGATGACAACACCGCCACCGGTGCGGTCGGAGTGCTGACCTATGACCTGTTCCACATGCAGAGCCGGGTTTGTTCGGAGCGCATGGCCATCATGTTCTCCGTGCCTTTCGACCACAACATTTACAAGAACCGGCTGGCTGTGGGTGTGGTCGAGCATTCCCGGGCCTGCGACAAACATCTGTACGACCAGATGTATGATGGGAAAGATCTCAGCAACTTCACCCGCTCTGATGCAAGCGGGTGTGGGCTGGAATATAAAGCAGCACATGTTGATTTAAGAGCCACAATGTCTACAACAGGCAAAGCTATTGTTAAAGTGGAGCTGTATGATAAAATGGGCCATTAGTGTGCAGGTCAGATGGGTTTTATTCTTAAGCTCTTTGTTGGTTTTGAGTCCATAGAGTGAATAGAATCTCTTTGATGTGACCACTGTCGTCATCTTGAAATAAAAAAATAAAAAAGTGCATTCAGGAGAGGAAGACTGATTTTGCTGTCATCTGTATTTTGCGTCTGCTGAGAGATATCAATATCTGACAGCCAGCTCATTGATTTCCCATTAGCTAATGTCTTGGACTCATGTACGTTGTACTCTCTCTTCTCTTTGATTATGGTAATAAAACATTCAGACCCAATGCTTGTGTTGCCTTGTGTGGAGTATGTTCTCACTCTGTATGCCTGCATTATTACTGATGAACAGTAATTATTATTTAATCTCTGATCTGGATCTATCCAACTCTAATGAGCGGCAACAGATGGAAAGCTGGCGTAGATGTTTTTTTTTAATCTGCGCAATAACAACACGGTTCTTCACTGGCTAGGAGACTTTTCATCTTGCTGTTTGTGTGGAACTTGGAAAACAACAGCTTCAGTAGTAGAAAAAAAAAATGAGAGTAAAGAGGCTCCAGAGACATGTGCCTAGACTTGCGTTGTTTACTTTTTTCTGTTGCTCAGTAAAAATGGAATAAGGTTCCCAAACTGCTTCTCTCAGATGGATTTCATGAAAAAGTAAAAAAAAAAAAAAGACAGGACAGGATAAATGTGCAGAGTTAGCAACAAAGAGATCCAAGGGGAAAGTATTAGAGACGGATCCAAGAAAGGGTGTGGTTGTTTGATGATACAGGGATTAGCCACATTTATATTTTTTGCAGTACTCTTTTGTGTAGGCCCAAACTTACTAATGTATGTATGTGGAAAGAGGGTGTGTCTGGTCTAAATTATGTTATGTCGCAAGAGGAAGGGGCATATCCTGGAAAACAGGGGGGTGGAAAAACAACGCCTCCCATTCAGGTGTCTTTTCCGACTTCTCCCATTTTACTTTTGGAATACTTGCACTTTGTTCACAGGTACGTTTCTAAAATCACTATTCTTAGTTAAAATTCCTTACAAATCGCTTTTGCTTGATAGGTATTTTGTGTGTTTTAACAGAGCATCATTATCAAAAACTAACTGAAAAACTCATGTATTTATTACATCAGAATTTATTATCTGGTTAAGTTAGCCTTAAGTTAGCTGAACATTAGCCTCAGTATACAACTGAAGCTAAATTTCACCCATTTTCCATTGGCATCGTCTTTTCTGTACTTTATGTTGCTATATTGATAAGATGAAAAATCGATCAAAGTCGATAAAAAAAAAGCCATTAGCCATGACTTTCACGTTGTTTGATTCTATCTGAAATACTTTTGTTTTCCAAATAGATCTCATAATTGTTGCAGCATGACGGAGTCGGCTGAAGCTGTGGCAGCTGATGTGACCAGCAAAAGAAGCGTGACTATTGAAATCTCAAATATCACGAATAACTACTGCCTTATCAGTCCCAAGTAAGCAATTTGTTGATCTCTTATAATATATTTATGTCTGTCAGGCCATATTGGTAAATGAGTTTTGTCATTGTCAATGATAATAATTTAGCCAACATATTTGCATGATCTGTTTTTCTTTTCTTTGGGACATAATGCACATTTTGCACCAAAACACATTTAAATCTGAAACAAGACATCCCTATAATGTTTATCCTTCCAGATTTATTGATGCCCAAAATTTCCCTCTTAATATCTTGCATGATTTATTTTGAAACAGTGTTGGAGACCTTAACATACATCAACTACAGTTGATGTATGTTATTGTTAATATTTGTTAACTCAGATATTGTGTATTAACCTATCGGAAGCTTTAAAAGTCATCAGACTTCATCCGGGCTCCACTGTACTTTAAAAAAAGGATATCCTTTGTATAATAATTTTTGGAAGTGAACGGTATCCTTTAGTCAATCGTTCTGGTAATCCTAACTGATCCAAACAGGAAAGGTTTATTGTGATTCAATGTTATCCAGTAAGGAAATAGATTTTGAGCTTGATGTGTTTCATGTAAGTATCTGTTTCAACAGTTTGTTCTTATTTTTTGTTATTAGAACTTACCTTGACAATGGGGAGGTGTTCAACCCACCTCAACCGACAGTACGCCCCCTAAAGACAGAAGTGTGCACCTTCACCAAGTCTGGTGGGAAAGCAACCGGTAGCGTTGGCGTCCTGACCTACGACCTCTTCGAGAGGTCCCAGAATGACTACATTGAGACCCTGGCCATCATGTTTTCAGTTCCCTGGGACTTCAACCTGTACAAGAACTGGTTTGCGGTGGGCATCTATAAAAAGGGTCGCAACTGTGATAAGGATTTATTCAAAGAAATGTACTATGAGAAGAAAGAGAATGAGCATGGTTTTGTCAGAGGGGAAGCCAATGGCTCGGGAATCAATTATGTGGGTAACTACCTTGACATCAAAGCCACTATGTGTCCCCTGGGGAATGCCATCATGAAGGTGGAGGTGTGGGACAAGCTTTTTACACACATGGGACAGCAGGCTTACTAGAACCCATCCCAGTTGCAGAATCCTTCCTCATAGTTTGTGTTTTTCTGCAGCCTTCCTCCACTACAATGAGCTTGCACGCTTTAGCAGATCTGTTGTTGCTGACATGTGTCTCTATGCCTTGGTATTACCCTCTGTCTTATAATCTGTTTAAGATCTGAATTTGTTTTTTTTTTTGTTTGTTTGTTTTTATCCTGCCAGAAATATCTTCTTTTTTATACCACAAGCCTTTCTGTATTTCTGTTCTATTCAGTTTTAAACTGGCATCTTTAGAAAAGGAAATCAAAGGATGACTCACTGAAGGATGAGGGCACATAGCTTAATAAAATACACAGAGTGGCTGTCTGAATTCACCTTGACATTATCCTTTCAGGAATAAAATAAATCTTTTCTCCGAAGCTTACTGTGTGTCTCTGTCTGCTGATTGGGGTTAAAAAGAGTGCATAGAAAGGACATTGAAATATTTTAATGCGAAAAGATTATTATTATTATGTTTTTTTTTTTTTTAGCATGCCTTCCATCCAAGGCATTCTTTGTATGTTGACAAGGTCTTGATTACTTTGAGGTGGGACTAAGTTTTTAATAAATTGCGTGGAAGCCTTAATTTGCAGTACATCACGGTCACAGTAAAACCTTAAAAAAAAACTGTTCAGAATTTTCTGTTCAAAGCAGAAAGACTAAACCGAAGGAGGTGATTGTGTGATTAACAATTAAATGCACACCTTTACTTCTGAAATCTACAGCAAAAATCAGAATAATTGTGTATTTTCTTTTTCTTTTCAAAGTTATCATCTTAGCAGGTTGAAAGACACTTAGATTGATTTGACCGCCCAATAAATTACCTTATCTCAACACTAAGTACTTATTTTGCAGTAACATCACTGCCAGTTCTTTGCAGACACCACCATTAACCTTTAGATGTATTGAGATTTAATGCAGGTGGTGAAACAGCTGCTCTTCATTTACATCTCATAAGAAGAAATCAGGTTTCAGCAAATCTATTTGAAGTCTCCATGCTGCCATTCTAGTTCTGGTTTCCCATTATGTCACAAGGCTTTTTGCAGCATCAACCGCTGCCTCAACAAAGAGGCACAGATCAAAGGTTTCAGTTGTTGCTGTTTCATTTGCATAAAAAGCAAATAACATAGAGGTGGAAATTGGGCCTGTGTAGACTTAATCCGCAAAGCTTTTTGAGTGACATATTGAAGATATTGACACACATTTTAGCTTTTAATCTTTTCTTTGTGTTTCCAACAACTGCTCCTAAGACTACTTTCTTTTTTTTTTCTATTATGTATTTTACCTCATAAGTGCTTGTGTGTTTGCATTCTTTGTTGTTGGTCTCCCAGGTTAGAAAGACACACACCTGCACCTGCAGATATGGATATTCTGGATAAATTCCATCATGCATTGTGGGCTTTAAATGTTGGGATGAAGTAAATTGTAAAAGGAGCGTAGAATTAGAGATTTTAAATATGAAATAGAAAGATTTAAGAAAGTCTTGCATCCTCTTTGAATGATGGAAATGTTTGTGAATTGAAGCAGGTGCAGTTTACCTCCAAAGAGGAAGGAGGTTAGAAAAAGAATTAGGAGAGCACAGGTGTAGAAAAGCGCAAATCTGCGAGCTTCTGCCTGAACAGCCTGAACATAATGCTGAAAAACAAACTGATCTGAACAGCAGAGAACCACATGTGAGGTGAAATCTTAGAAATTGTTCACCCAATTACCTGAAAAACAAAAAACAGCTCCAACTGTTGTTTGTGTGTGCTGTGTTTTGCAGCAGAAATCTTGACTGAATGTGCACACACTGACAAACCTCCCTGACCTGATATTTGAGAATAAACTTCAGAGCTTAAATCATGCATGCAAAAAGATATTTAGCTTTAAAAAAAAAAAAAGAAAATTAAACCTTTACAATTGAAGTTTGGTTGTGCACTGCACAAACTGCTCTCAAACACTGCCATCTAGAGGCCTGCTACGACAAGAAGAGTGGTTACACCCACAGATGAATCTCCAAATCAAAATACAATCTTTGAAAAACAAAGGGTAAAACATATTAGATTAAAAAAAACAATACATTTAAATGTATTCATTTAATGGGTCCAACAAATGATGTCAGACACCTTCCTGATCAAAGTTTCTTTCTTTTTTTCTTTGTTGTTTCTGCAACTACTTTGTCACTGTCTTCCTGAGCTGCCACCAGCACCAAACATGTCGTGACATCCAGCAGGGTCTGGTTGTCTTTGATAGTTCACCATGTGTCTGACCTGATGGGTGACAGCCTGGAACAGAGGGCTGCCAGCCTTCCTGTCAGTTTCAGGCTTCCACTGTTAGTATAATCTCTAAAGAATCAAAAAGTTTCAGACCAGCGCGGGGTTTCACTGATACGCACGCTTGTTTCCAAACACATGCGGGATCTATTTCATGATTTCTTCAGCTAAAAACACGGGGGCCAAAAGTTATGTTTGTCCTGGCTAGGTATAGAAATCAGCTCACCAGGTCAGCCTGTTGTTTTGAAATCTCTCAGCATGCAGAGAAACACAAATGTGTATTATGTAACAGTAGAGTTAACATGGGGAGAACCTTTCATTGTTTTCCCCTCTCAACTTTTTTTTATATCTTGATAAATAACTTGGATCCTCAGAACCTCTAAAGTTTGAGCTGCATTTGTAAATGTATAAATGTATATTAGAGCGGACATGTTAGACCCTGTTATGCAAGTTAGATATTTTGTAATATTTTGGTTTTGTTGATTAATTTTGAATATCAATCACCCACAAGATTTCAGATGGATTTGTTTTTTAGCTGTTATCTTTTTTTTTATGTATCTTGTTCTTGTTCGTGTTTTTCAGTCTAACATTGTGTTTTGGTTTCTGACCTATCCTGCAGATATGAATGCTTTCCTTGACAACTTAGCAGTCATAGCTTAATGTGAGGATGTGTCAGTGTTTTGTTTATCACTTTAACACTTTCTCCTCAGTTCCAGGTTGTTTATGAAATATTTTTTGCACATTTAAGAGCAGCGCTCTGTTGCTTACCATAATGCTGTCTGTCCACTAACACATATTCAGCTGTGAAATAAATCTGTCCAACCTCCTACAGAAAAAGAGATTTTATTTCCCTTGGTTTTTTAGTCTTTTTTTTTTCTTTGAATCAAGAAATGAGACCTTTGCTGTAGTTGTTGATTTGAATTGTAATTTACTGACTGTGGGGAATCTTAGACAATACGTACATAAAATATAGTACATTTAGTCCACAGTTATTCAAGTTAAAAAGGTTGTTTCTTACGCCATAAATTCTCAGAGCTTCCCAAAGTACCATCTGTACACCACCAATTATCTGTGTGGCTACCTCTACAAAACCAGCAATCAGAGAACTGTAAGTTAAAGTTCCTTGTTCTACATTTTGAAAAGTTATTCACATGTGTACAACATTTGAGACAGCTGCCAAACCTCTCGGGGGGATGGGTGTGAAGTACTGTGCGAACCCCAGAGTGACTGCAAGGAACCAAAGAGATACATGTCAGACTTTCTTGGCTTCAGCTAGCATGGTAAATGTTCATAAAAGTACACTTTAAGTGCCAATAATAGTACTGAACAGCAAAAATATTACATACAAAGAGTGATGGTCTAAGACTCTTTCATGCAAACAGATAAATGTTTCCATCCCAATGATTTGGTGGACTAGCCAGAAAGGACTGCATATAAATCTGCAGCCATCCTTGCAGTGACTGCAGCTTGATTGGCAAACATAGCAGCATAGAGAGACTTTGGCACTGAGGCTGACAGTGTCAGGTTCATGGCTTTATAGAGCATCAGTAAAAGTAAATGAAAAAAAGAAAGCTTTATTGGAGACACTCTGCCAAGTCATTGATGTGTAATGGATGAATGAATACTACTTTAGATGCTTTTATATTCTTATATAATCAACTTTCAATCTGCTTTCTTCCAGTACACATTATACGAATCTCTACACATCCTTCACATGCCAGAAATAATACATTTTAAAAACCGCACTCTCTGATGTGAGTTATTGAACGTGACATAAGTAATTAATTTTTCTGTTGGTCTGTGAGCCAGGCAGCTGGCTCTGCTGTGTCGGAGCTGACCCTTCAGCTGGCTGACATCACGCTGGCAGCTGATGATTGTACATTCAAGTGGGTTTGACATCAGAACTGCTGCCCGATCAGTCAGAATAAACTGAAAGAATTGCAGAGCGGGAGCAGCCCTCTTTCAACACCAGCTGAAAATTTGAGTGAAGTGGAGCAAAAATATTCCCAAGCTCTCCAATGATGATGAGAAAGGAGAAGGTCAAGCTTAAGGTCAGCTTCAATGTTTTGGCAAAGGGATTGAGGAAAGACTGTCACAGACATGAAAAGGGGTTATACAAATGAGGAGTTTTAAGAAGTTTGAAAGATTTTAAGTACTCATCTGCACCATTGTCATGGAGGAATTACCTTTCTTTTTAAGCAACGTTGATTCATTTGATTGAGGTTTACATACATTTATTTCTGCAAAGCTCTCTTAAGAGGGAGACTGCATTTTTAAAAGAAAAAGGCTCATGTCTGTTCCATTTCATCAGTAAAACTAAGATGTGCTGCTACATTCTTCTTAGGGAGAAGAGGCTTTGGATCACTTCCAAACAACCAGTACACATTGAGTTTTTTTAAAAACGTTCTAATTAAACACTGCTTTATGCAGATTCCCTCTGCTCTCTTTGCATCACAATTACCCGGTCAAATTATGTCTTCAATTTTCTGCCAAATACTATCAGACACTTATTGAAAATGTCTAGGTAAACAGTTGTGTGATCTAACATCACCTGCAGTGTTTTCTCACATATTCAACCCTTTGTTTTTCACCAGACAAACCAATCAGCTTTGGAGGGGAAAGTCTTTTTCCTTGCACGATCTCCAAGTAGCCAGTAGACATAATGCCTAGTGCCTGATGAGGAGACACATTGACCCCCTTTGCACCAGTTCTAACTGTGAGGTCATTGTGATTGTTATTTATTTTTTAAACTCATTCTCTTACCATCCTCCTCACTGAGCATGGTGGCCAGACAAACTTAGGCAATGGTTCGTCCTTGTTTGTCGCAGTAACTATTGCTCTGTCCATAGATATGTACAAGTCTATGGATAGATATTTTTTATTATTATTATTATTTCATGACACATAAAGTTCAGCACATACCTACCACACTTGAATCACATGTTTTCTTGTTTTTACCACTATAATTGTCTCAGCAAAATTGACCTATCTTATATCATACATATGCCTCAATGAAGCAGGGACTTAATAATTATTATATAACTCATAAACTACATAAAATGAAATATAAATCACAAAATAATGAATTTTCATGTATTTGGGGTGTTGGGGAGCATGGCACTGAGAATGTTCTTAAAAGCTTTTCTTCCTAATGGTATGTTACTGTAGTACAAATTACTTTAATTTTAATACTTCTACACATTTTTAACAGGAGAGCCAATAAGAATAATCTAAAAAAGGACAGTCACTGCATATGTACTCAAACTAAACGGCTTGTTACAATTCTGCTTAAAGCCACAAGAGGGCAAAGTTTTGCACTCTGGAGTTTTATGATCCACTTGGGTATTGTTGGCAAAGCTGTGAAAATCATGCAGATGCTGTTTTATGATGACAATAGATGTATATACCTTAAAATACATATACACTCACATCTTGCAGTATAGTATAAAGCTTGTTTTCCAGTTTGCTATAACAGTAGGGAGGGACACAAAATGGATGAGATCAGAAAGAGGGGGGATGGGGTGGTAGAGGTGGTGAGCATGACCCTATATCTAGAGAGGAAGAAAGGTCACAAAACACACTTTCCCACATAGCCCAGCCCAGACACACAAGGACACACTCACAGGCATTAAACAGAGGCTCTCAGTGCAGTGTGTGTGCGTGTGTATGTGCCAGATAAGAGTGTGATGCATGGCTGCTGTCATGGCTTCCTTGACTACATCAGGGCTCACACAGCACAGAAACTGTAGAACAATATACTCCCCACTGAAAATATCATGAAGGGGGGAAGACGTGGCCATACGTGGTGGTTCATCAAACAAAACTGTAGAGGAGAGGATACTTTTAACAGAATGATGCTGCAATCCTGTTAGTTGTCTTAAAACTGAGTTGGACTCAGTACAAAAGTTGTATTCGCATTATTATCTTCCCATTATTTTTGCTGCAGCACAGCCAAATAAGCAACCAGTATTTTTTATGATCAGTTTATTTGGACGGTAAAATAACCATTTAGGTTTAATACTTTACAAAACAAAAATAAAGTATACAGATATGTGCGCAGTACACGGTGTGAGAACAGACTGGGTGTATTCCTCGAAGTCGCGGACTACATCCGTTTGTTCTCGACAACAACAAAGTTAAAGGAAAGTATTTGACTACACATTTTGTTCCAAATCTGAAAGCACTTACTGTGGCTTTACTGTCATCCACAACTGAACACATATCAACGCTATCATGTTATAAGCAAAGAAACTTAGATTGATCTTCTTGTCATCACTCAGTGTATATAACTTAGTCTGCACAGTCAGATAAATGTCTTTTGTCCAGGTCAGGTTAAACTATCAATTATTTACTTATAAGTTGCTAATATTTAGATAGAAGGCAGAATCCTTGCTGCTGAAAGAAAAACAGCATGGGGAGCTCTACTGCAGTGGTCACTCCCTTTTAATTGGGCTCCAGTTGCTTTAACCTTTGAACCCCCTTAAGACGAATACATTCAACAATTTTTAATTTCCATGTCATATTAACACAGATCAAACATAGATCAAACTTGACATTGATCCGAGTTCAGTTTGAGCACCAAAAAATGATGTTGCTAATTTATAGTTAAACATAATTTTCTGAACAGCCGAAGCTAATTCCTGGCCTGTCACTGAAAATGTTATTTTACTTTTACAACGGCAAGCTCTGAAGCTTTTGTCATCACTAACAACACGGAATATATGTTTTTTGGTTTGTATTAAGGTTTAATTCCAAAATATTGTGCTGATACTGGTTGAGTCAATACTTAATGCTGCATCCTATTTGTTTTGGAGGCTGGAGCTGAGAATGCTGTCGCATCAGGAGTAACCATGTTCCAGTTGCAATTTGGAAAGCCCCTGGGATTTTTCCAATAGTAGCGCAAACCGCTAACAGTAATATGATTGAATAATGATGCATTTCTCTCCATGTTCTGCATTGAAACATGAACATGTCCACCACAAAATGTTGTACAGCACTATGTCACAACAAAAAGGATTACGGTAATTGTTTAAAAACAACAAACAAAAAAAAAACTGGGTTTACATCTGCAAAATTAAATATATGTGCTATAGCCATGTCTGTTGAACCCAGGACTCCTCAGACACCTCCAACTTTCCAAGTCAAAATTCCGACTTTATACAGATTTCTGTTGTATTTCTGTATGGAAAATCAAAAATCCAACTTTCAAATGCAAACAGAATGCAACATTGTGACTAGGTCGGTTTAAAAATAACACACTTTTTCACAGCCTTTTCCTTAAACTGAAAGTTTGGGACATTGAGGTGGGATTCTGCAGAGTAACTTTCAGCTGTCAGTGTTTTGACAAAGTAGAGATCAAAGCGTCCCTTCAGTTTAAGAAAAGGGAAAGAAGTTATGAGTCTTGCTAACATGTAGACCAAATGGAACTAGCATAAAAATGTATATTTTTCATCCTAAAACAACAATCTTATAATGAAAAAAGTAGCTCACTAGAATTCTTTTTTTTCTCTTGCTTTATTTTATTTGACCTTCATGGTCAGTAGTTTGAGAAAATGCAGTCTTATGGCTATTTTACATCCTATTCCATTAGCATTAAATCAGATCTCACTGATCGGTTAAATCTTTCTTCTGCTAAGAATGTCACAATGTTACTGTTATGGATCATCAATCAATACAGTTTTCATCATAAATGGCCATGGGCTTTCATGTTAAATAACCGCCTAAGTAACTCTTTTGAGTCGCTGTGAAACTTTAAAAACTGGAGTTGATTCAGAATGATGGACTTCACTTTTCTGTCTTTCTGGATCTGTAAGAAGTGCTCTAAGCACCTGAGATAAGGTACTGACAGCTGATGGCAACTCTAAAGAACCCCACTTTCAAAAAACTGAACCATCCCTATAAAGTGTAAATACAGTAAACAGGAAACTGTTATTCCACAGTGCATTGATCATTTCATTGACAAAGAAGACATTTGACATTCAACAGACATCATTCGAAGCATTTACTCCTTTAAGTCCTGAGTCACTGAGACGTCTGCAGGATTTTTGGATAATTGAAGGAATAGTAGCAGTCTAAGCATGGTAAAGCAGATGGACAAAAATGCATACCAAAGGCCATATTCAGTGTTCCAATCAGGATGTGCCATCTCCATTTTTGGTCTTGATCACCACCAGGCTGACCATAACTGGTATCAGGCAGATGGGAGTGATCACCAGGGCAAACACGATTCCTGGTGGTGGGTCACTAAATTCCTCTGTGGGGCATGCTTTGAAATACGCAGCGTGGATGTTGACAAAGAGCTTTTCCACCAGTGAGTTCGGCCATGGGATCTCCAGACAGTCAGATATGTTCTCGGTGTATGTGCTAAAGTCGCTGTAGAAGCTGCAGAAAATAAAATGAGATAAAAATGTTTTTGGGGAAAAGACATTTGATGTCAGCATAGGTTTTGAAGTATCTCTGATGTAAAAGTTAGTGACTCGTAAATGAGATTACCTGCTCACTTTATCCCAGACGCACCAGTCAGTTGAGTTTAGTGAGCTCATTTGGTTATTGAAATAAGTCAGATAGTCATCAAATAAATAAGAAAGACACTCCATTGGTGGTTTGCCAGGATGATCCTCGCAGATCTTACACACACTGTGGCAATAGGCATCATTCAGACAAGCTGCACGAAGTGGAATTAAAAGGAGAGTATGTGAGAAAACATCCAAAGAGAATAAGAGCAGTTTAAGATGTAACAACAGAGTGAGTTGCAAACATTTTTTGTAAACTTATGTTACATTAGCATTGTATGTAAGAAATGCCACCTACGAAATTGCAGTTGGTGTCCTGAGATCTCTAAATGAGAGATATGGAAAAACATTCTCTGATTAAAACGTGTACTTCTGACAAGAAAAGACAGAAAACACAAAACACACCATCTTTCTAATTCAACTCGAATCACCGTGACATTTTCTTTGCCTGTTTTAGCTCACAAATTCTTCTAACACAACTGTTGGTGAGGCGACTGCAGCTGTGAAAGGAAGACCACACACTCACCAGAGAGAAAGGAGAGGAATACCCCAATGAAACCAACAGCTCCCTTCATGTCAGAAAAAAAAGAATAAAGGTGTCTATTCCCCAAATGATGAAGCTTCCAGAATGTGTATAGCGAGGCATAACAGGAAACGCAACAGGGTTATCTTCGGTTACCAGATGTCCAAACAATGTTACCCACGGATAGCAGATGTTCTTCGAAGATCTGTCTGATGGCCCTGCGCCTTGGCAGCAGCTCTTTTCCCCTTCAAACCCCCTTTTTTTTTTTTTTTTTTTTTTTTTTTTAGTTTTTCTTCCTTTTTTTTAAGGGGTGGAGGCAGAAAAGATTGTCCTCTCTATTCTCCCAAATAAAAAGAGCACACCCAAGCTGGGGCTGGACTCACATCTGAAAACCCTTTACTCTTTAACTCTTGTTCTGCTTTTTAGTCTCAGTTTCTCACAGTCGAAAAGGCCTGGCCAGCTCACAGCATGTGATTTATTTGCCTTTTGGGCTGCCTCTGCCAAATAGGAAACATAAGTAAACATTTACGGCTTAGCGTTTTGGGGTGGATTTAATCATGACTCTGCAGGGTGTGCTGTGCAGACAGTCACGATTTCATATTTAGGTTAATTAAACAAAAGATGGAATAAGTTATTATTCTGAAACAGCCATAAGACTCAAAAGACCATTACATATCTGTGCTGGCAAAGAATACATAACATTTCCACATCAGATGTAATTATGTTTTTTTGTTTTTTGTTTTTTTTATCTCATAAAGAGCTCATGATTTTTGCAAATCTGCTGGATAGTTCCTCACTGCCGCTTCTTGGAGCTTTAAAAAGCTGAGTAAGGGAGGATCAAACACAAAAAGAAATACATATACATTTCTACGGTTTACATGTCACAGCTTAAATTGATGTTATAGAAACTATATGTTCAACCCCATGTAACATTTGTTTGCTGAGGAGCAGCATTTTGATTTAGTAATGACATCAGGAAATGTGTCTTTTCAGCAGAGGAGGAGCCCACATTCGGGAGTGTTGGCAGGGGAAAGGGGTGGGGGGACAGTTGGGGAAAGAAAAAAACAGTAAGGCACAGGATGAGGAACAGCGAAAGGGGCTCTGCTCCAAGTTCCAGTTGTTTCACAACTTTGAGTTCATGCGTTGATCACTGACGTTGCGTGGGGCGAATGACGAACAAAGTCAGGAAGTTGATCCAGGTGGGGGGTGGGGGGGTGTCGTAATGAGGTTTCGTTTAACCTCTAACCCTGAAGCCGTTTGGGGCCTCACGTCTACTGCTGGTGACCCCTCTGTTGGAGACCTCCTCAGGAGTTTATCTTGGATCCTTTTGACAAAACACACGAGGAGATGTCCCCATGGAAAAACAGAGTCTGCAAGATCTGTTTTCTGGGTTCTGTTTGTTCCAGGACAAAACAAATAATTTCAAAGAAGTGATCCCAAACAAGCCCCCGGGAGAAATGCTTTCATTTTCACTATCTGTGACTCTACAACATATAAAATTGAAATCATATTGATCCATCCCTCCTAAAGTTTCTACAATGTATATACGTATATAAACAATATGTCATGCAAAAAGTTGAAAGATCATATTATCTGAATCTCCATTTTATCTGGTGTAAAAATGATTGTAAAGCACTTTTTAAAAGATCATCATGTCGACAGTTAAACATGGTGGTGAGAGTGTGATAATCCGGGGCTCTGGGTTTCGGAAAACTTTAACCATTAAGTATGTGCTATATGGAAAAAAAGTAAGTCTGATAATAAGGTTGTAATCTGATGCCTCGACAAAAACAACAAAATGGAGGTTTCTGATTGGCTTGGTCAGAGTCTAGGCTTAAGTTTGATCACAAAGCCATGGCACAACTTTAAATTTATGCTCAAAAACTCTCCGGTGTGACTAACTTAAAGCAGTTCTGCAAGGAACAGTGGGTCCAAATTCCTCCACAGTCATGTAAAAAACTCATTACCAGTTATTACAAAGACTTGATGGCAGCTGTTGCCATCAAGGGTGACACAACCAATTACTAGGTTTTGGAGGAAAATACTATCTCACATAGGTTTGGATTTCGTTTTTCCATTAATAGATGAAATTATCTTTTTGAAAATTGCATTTTGTATTTTAAGAAGACAGCAAAATTTTTTTCACTGCACTTGAATTGATTAGCGTCGCACAGCTACACAATAAACAGCTCAAAGAAAACAAAATCAAACTTACTGTTATCCATTGTTTGTGTTTCGTTATACCCTACATGAAGAAATGCACGGGTTAAAAACATCAATCAACATGCAAGAGGATTTATTTTTGATTTTCTTTAAGATTCCACACATACCTGTTGTTTTCACTGTTGTTGTTGTGAGCGGTTGCACCGTTGCGTTGTCATTATCCAGACAAATTACATTTGTGCATCCTGCAACAAGAAAACCCACATTTTGGCAGCACAAAGACATACAGTCAAGGTAAGATATAAAATTCTCTGTTATTTAACTCATATTTCGTCAACAGCTGTTTTTACGCATTTTTTAATGTGTGAGAAAGTGTGGAGGATGAAGGAAATAGCGAGATCCACGCTATGGGGAGTCAGTGCATCCTCCCTTTGTCTCCCACTTCTTTAAGGAAGTCTTAATATATTCAACTCAAGGACATTTAAACATATTTACAACCAATGTTCTGACATTAGAAGGAGCTTTCTTATTCATATGACAGAAATCCTATTATTTTTTTAAACAGTATTAACAATCTTACACATGATCAGAAATAATTACTGAATTCTTATTTTTATATGTATTTGGTCTATACAAGAATAAGAATAGCCTACAACATACCAGTTGTTTGGTTTCTTTCTAAATGTCATTTCCCTACATAAAGGGTCAAAAAGATTTCTTACTGAGAAATTAGAGGAAGAGTAAACATTGCTTCTCCCTAATACATAAATGGACAATGAAAATAAATGTCACTTACCCCAAATGAGAAGAGTCACTAAGCAGCCAGAGAACACAAGAGAGAATCTGGTGGCAGTCATTTTGCTGAACAATGCTCTGTTCATCTTCACCAGTGGGTAGGGATTACATATCTCAACCTTTACACAGGAAGGCTTAAAAAAAGGAAAAGAAACAACAGGAAAGCCTCACTTCCTAGTATGGGCGGATTCACCACATGGGGTAAAGATTTTCTGATAATGTTACAACTGCTGTGCTCCACTGATACAAAGTCATCACCACTTTCTCTTTGGGTTTTGATTCAGGAATTGTGAAAGCATGAAGAGTTTCTGATCATGTTTATTCTCCCCTCTTTTATTTGTCTTTCCCTGTTCCTCTGATAATAGGAGGACAAACAATGATTTAAGTTTGAGAAAGATGTTCAATCAACAGTTACTTGACAGAACTGTGATTTACAAAAAAAAATAGTAATTCTCTTTTTCTTCCATTTGTTTTCATTTTCTTCTTCTTGTTTCAATTTTTATCCAAACCTGTAAACCTGGTCTTTGTGTGTGTGTGGGGGGGAGGAGGTGTTATGATGCATTTTATTTCTACTTCTAATAAACAAAAGTCATGGAAGAAATTTTCCCTGGCCAGATAACAGGATTGACTGATTAAATAAAAATAATAATGAGGGAGGTTCTCCTTTTTTAAAGGTTCAAGTAGTTTAGCTGGTTGATTTGCATGAGCTAGAAAATGTGGGGTGACATTAGAGGAGCAGAATGCAAGAATGTGAAATTGACCAATAAAAAAAAAAAAGGGAAAAAAGAAATTAGATGGGAGAAAATTACATGTGGGGGTAAGAAACTGCTCTCTTATTTCTTTGATAAGAGAACTGAACAGCAAAACTGAACTTAAACATAATTTGTTGTCACAGCAACAGTTTTCAAGAGTAAAGTTGACACATCATCTTCAACCATACATAAAATCCTTTCACAAATGTATCAGCATAAAACTTATTGCCACTAATCTTCAGAGCATCAGATACAAAAGTGTTGAGACTGCACAAACTAAGTTCCAAAATCAGCTCCCAGAAATAGGAGACAGTTTGATTTGGGGACAAACTACCAAATCCTCTCATCAGTTTCACTGTGACAATGTCAAAGTTGTTCAAATTGTCAGGCCAAAAGTGGCATAATAAAGCATATTAATGTGATCTTCAGTAACTTAGCTATCGATTCCACAAGTGATAAGTTTCAAACTAATCATTCAATTTCAACAGAACTGCACATGTGAAAACAGTATATATTCTAGTGTAATTTCAATCTTTTCTGTAGCATTTGTAATCTAAAGATAATTGATTACTAATGTTAATTGATAGAGTTGAGACTAAAATCTATTTTATTTTATTAGACTAATTAATATGGTTCTCACAAAAATCATATTCATGGGCAAAAGGTGTGTGAGAGATACTGATCAAGTGTCTCTCACTTGATCAGTATCAAGAGCCAACCATGATACAGAGGACCCAATCAATCAATCAATCAATCAATCAATCAATGAAGTTTGTTTTATGGCACATTTCAGCAACAAGACAGCTCAAAATGCTTTACGTCATAAAAATACACACACAAAAAATCAAAGCTGTAGAACATGCAGTCAACAATTGTCAAGTGCCATTGTTACACATCAAAATGTTGATTAACATTTAATTTATAATGTTTTAAAAGCAACTCTGCTCTTCCTGGCCACTTTTCTGAATTTGCAAATTCAAAAAAGTGGAGTTCCCCTTTAAATTCTCGTTTGGCAACACATTTAATTACATTTTCCATTTTTTTATTTATTTATTTATTTATTTATTTTGTTGCTGTAAATCAAGATTTACTGTGCATGATTTACGTAAGGAATGTCCTTTCTTTATCTGCGCTGTGGTGGATCATCAATGCTGAAGACAAACAGCCTCCTTGTTCCCGTCATCATTAACGTCACGTTAAACGTCTGTGGTAAAAGAGAGGTAGCAAGGGGAGTTGGTCTGAAACTGAAGTGTTTCTCTGTATCACTGAAGAATAAGTGCTCTTTCTCAGCTGCTGGGCTTGGAACAAAGCCACATATAGCTCATGCCAAAATTGCTCCCACATTTCATTTCACTTAACATTGAGAGCACAGTTTCACGTAAAGGGTAGAGTGTTCAAAAAAAGAAACGCGCACTTAAATATCAAAGGCATTCTTGTGAGCACCATTACATAGATGAATTGACTTTTTAAAAAGGAATAATGTTAAAGAGGTTTTAAATGTCCAAGAATGTTAAAGCAAATGTGTAGCTTTTTTTAATGAGATATTTTTCTTGACTGCAGAGTTATTTGTCTTGGACATCTTTTCATTCTCAAAACCTTTTGTTTCAGACTGTTTGGCTTGTAATACTTAGGTTCAGTCACACGCCAACATCAACACATCGAGTTTACATAATACAGAAAGAAAAACTTCCTCCTTATTGCTGCCTTTATCTCTAAGCTTTGTGTTCTGTGAGTGTTTGCTTTTGTTTGACAGTTCAGTATCAATATTGCACGGTCTGCATCAAACACCACCAAATTTGCCATTTCATCTAGAAAAGTTTCTCTATCCTAATTTTCTCTCTAAATGCTCAATAAAAAGTCAAGAATGCTTTATGTGAACACAAGGCAAGAAAAAAAAGACAGCTTGTTATGTTTTGGGGGCATGATTTTAAGTGTACTAATCTTGTTTAAATAATGTTTTATTATCACAGATTGTGTCATCCTGTAAGAACTAGTCATATAGTGCCCCCTTGTGTGTTAAACAAGGTTTTTTTGTGTGTGAATTCAGATAATTACTCAAATGCCTACAATATGTGCAAAACTGTTAGGTAAATTGTATTTTTGAGCTTTCATCATTTGACAAATATTGTTTATCCAGTTAACTGAAAATTTTAATATTCCTAATGTAGATATTTAGCAACATAAAAGTGAAGCTTTGGTTTTCTCAAGAGAATATTGATGTGGGCACAGATGTAGAGGAATTATAAATGTGCAGAATTATCACAAAAATAAATGAAAATTGAGGATTTCCCCTTTCCCAGTGATAATCCACATGTAAAATAATTAATCAAATATTTTACATGTGGGTTAGTGACCATATGATCCTTGTTTTCCCACCCTTAAAACAAAATGATTCTGTAGGATTTCCCCACCAAACCTTCAAATTAATCTTTTGGACTAGTGTTTGTCACTTAAATGTCCTTAACGAATTGCATGGTTGAGCTTTGATTTCCTTTCACAGCTAAACTACATTCCAGTCATATTATTTTGTCTATATTTTGTCTAAATTGCCATTAGTTGTAAGGAACATTGTTCTGCTATGAGCCTACCCTTGGTAATCACCTGTAAGCACTAGAATCCTAGGGCTCAAAAAGGCTAAAGCTGAAATAACACTAGAGGCAATGAAAGGGTAAAAAGAATAAACATATTTTCACTTAAATTTGGATGATTAATTGACAACAGAACAATATTAAAAATCATATGTGCATCAACCTGAGAATTAAGTTATAAGTACCTTCAAGGCATCAATTTCAATTCTAACCGTGTGAGAGAAAAAAAAAAAACAATATTTCAGATTTTTGTCCTGCTGATAGCAAAGCTTTTATGGTGAGTTCAGCTATTGCTCTCCATTATAAATGTGTGTAGCCAACCAAGATCTTCCTGGCATCCGTGTTATTTGCACGTAGCCCGCTGTCTTTTCCCACAGAGAAGAAAAATGTATGGAGCTCCCTCTGCAGGAGAAAGGTTGAACCGCAGTTAGGCTGATTTCCCTCTCGACAGAAGTCCGTTGGAATTTTATAAAACTGTAAGCTGGTTTCCAGCTCTTACTTCATCATTATGACTTTAGTCTGTAAACCAGTAATATATATTGTAGGGCTGTTTCTGTTGTAAGATATGCTATGTGTTATTTTATTTATTTTTTTCGTTTTATGGGCTATTTGCTGTTTTTAATCGTCTTTTTTTTGTCAAAATGTATTTTAATGCTTGCATTTTACACCTACATGCGGTCGAATTTAATATTTTTTTTAAAGAGCTGACCACTAACCGCAGGCCTAAAGAGAATTATGCTTGAGTATGTATATGACCATAACCCTCCGAACAGTTAATCAGTTCCTGAGTGTGCGAGTAATGGCTGAGCCGCGGCTGCTCCGAGCTACTTTTTATTCCCAAGACGCAGAATATGCATAAATCCTGGCTCCTCTTCTTGGAAAGGCTGCATCATAATAAATACGTCACTATCCTGCTTGGGTTGAGCTAAGTGCGTAGCTATCTGTAAGCTACAACAACAAGCCTTCCAGCACCATGTCCGCGGACAACGCTGGGATTTCTCTGACATCCTCACGCATGGAGACGATACCTGCGTCAGATCCAAACCAAAGACAGCCTTAATTTGTCCAGCACGCACACACCAACACACACACGGACACACTCTCTCTCTCTCTCACTCACTCTCTTTCCTACACACACGTACAGAGAGAGGGACTTGATCGCATTGCGGGGCTGTTGTCGCAACAGAGAGGACGCGAGGATTTAAAGGTATTTAATAATCGCGACAGTTGCTGTGTGGATGTAGACGTGCAAACGCGTGTGCCAGAATGCCGCGCCGTCATTGTGGAGCTTGGGTGGGCACGTCGCTAAAGTGTTCCCCATTTAAATGGGCACCGTGTAGCTGCCGTGGCTGCACCCAGAGGACGCAGCGCACTTCATCTGCGTTGTTAACCACACGTTTGCAAGCTTCCTCCTCCTCGATCAAACCCCCTATCGCTGATTTCGGCGCTAAGTTTTGCCTTAATGCTTATTTCTGAGGGGGTTCTGGCGCAAACAGTGATGTAGATGCTCACTCGGGCCATGATGAAGCACAGAAAAACTGTACTACGCACTTTTCTGCTCTGTTGAGGCACGCCCACTTCGTAGCAATGTGGATGCTCCACGCTGTTTAACTCTTAGACCTTATTTACAGGCCACAAAAATTGCCCACTGCTTTTGTAATGGCCGCCCTTTAAAAATAATTAGAAAACATGGTGCAGTTTAAATCACCCGGACGGTAGGCTTGTTTTCTCCAGAGGATGGCAATTTTGTTTTGCCAACAGAAGGGGGCAGTATTTCAAAGAGGGTTACATTTAGGGTAAATAGGGAAGAGCATTCTTCTGGAAAACGAGATTGTGTCATACTGAAGGCTTCTTGAAGAATAAATTACTTTAACAACTTTTTTTTTCACTAATTTGCATTATATGATCAACTGACTGACTATATTTTATACAATCATTAGGAACATACAGGACTTAATGTTGATGCCCTTATCTTCAACATGAATGACATGGATGTATTTAAGCCTTTTTAAAGAATATAATAACTTTATATCATATAAAAAACAAGAATTGTGTGCACAATGTTGGATTTATTGTAGAGTTTGTCTAAGATTTAACATTGAAAGTCAAGTGTCTGCACATGTTCACACTAATATTTGGCGACATAATGTCTGTTATGAGTTGCAGATTGATGACATGCATTTTAAAGTTAACTCCAGCCTCTTCTACCTTTTCCACAGAAAGATTTTATCTGTATTTCTGATCGCTGTCCTGATTGAACAACCAGTGGAGTTCCGATTTCAGCCAATCTAGTGTTTGATTTGAGTTGAAATTAAAGAATCTGAGAGTAGTCCTTTTTTATTGTGTCAACCAACAGTATCTCTGGCAGTTATAGACCCTCAGTGTGATGCTAGAAAATGTACATCAAATTTAAACATAAGCACACAATTCAAGCTGTTTGCTGTGATATAATTCTAGACATAAAGAATAATATATTAAAAGCATCACTATGACATTCATGCTAATAGTGAGTGTATGGAAACCTATGGCTGGTGCTGCATATGATTTGGAATTGAATGGACTGATTTGTTTTGAATTATAATTCTTTTTAAATTGATATTTCATGAATTTGTTTGTCTGGTAAAGTTTATTGACATGATATATTAGTCATTTTTTTCACACAATATAAATTGTGTGGAAAAAAATTAATGGGATTATTTTAAAATTATATGGGCTATCTCACAAAACTACTGCAAACTATAAAATTGTTGCTGTGCTTCTTAGGCCAGATAACAGGCTAACAATGGAAAATTTGAATCTACAACGAGGTTCAACTTGCTTGCTGAATACTCTTTTTGGCTTTTTAAGGAATGATGGAAGAAACAGCTGCTGCAGCCCCGGCCTCTGGCACCAGTGCTGTCCCATCAACTCCAAGGCCTCAACCTGGCTCCTTTATCCCTTCCCGCAGTCTCCTAGAGTGGAGAAGGAGGGTCAAGTCTGAGTATATGCGCCTTCGCCAGTTAAAACGCCTTAAAAAAGTAGACGAGGTCAAGGTGGGTTAAACCAGTCATTGACACATGGTTTATAGATTAATGTCCGTGAACGTTGGAAAGAGACTGCTATGTGTATGTGGTTTATCCCCTTCATTTGAGTTTTATCTGATTTGGTCTTTTTGTGTTTCCAGAGCTTGTTCATGTCCAACAGGCAAAAGATTGAGCTGCAGACTAATCTCCTGAATACAGAGTGGTCCAAGCTCAGGATTCAGGCCATCCCTGTCTCAACCTTTAGTGGATCTCTGGCAAATAAGAAGGTACATTCTTTTAAAAGGAGAGCGGTTGGGATAAGTGGAGCCTAAATAGGCAGTGACAAAGGGAACTGATGACTTAAGTGAGCTCATAACCCAAACAGTTTGAAAATATAGCGGTATCTTTATGTTCCCACATGCTGTTGAGTTTCACTGTAATGTATTTGCTTTCCCTGTCTGAGCCAAAACAGCATCTGTGTCAAATTATAATTATCCAGAAGACTCATTCAGAGTATGGTCATGTTCACCTCACCTCTGATCCTCTTCCAGATGTGTGCAGTGGAGTTCGGGTTCCCGGGATTTAATTCTCAGGCCGTTCCAATGAAACCTCTGTCTACGGTGGCAGGAATCCCTTTCATGTACTCGTGGTCACCACTGCAGCACAACTTCATGGTATCATATACCATCTTTTGATATTGTTTTTGCACTCTACTGTTCATGGCTGATGTATTATTGTATTGGGTTTTAAGCTTTATAACACTTAGGAACATTTAATGTTATTTTGTTGAATGAAGCACCAAAAGGAGTTGTTTCTTTTAGGTGGAGGATGAAACTTTCCTACACAACATTCCCTACATGGGTGATGAGGTGCTTGAACAGGATGAGGCCTTCTTAGAGGAACTCATTGACAACTATGATGGCGTTCATGGTGACAGGGGTAGGCAGAGCCTTAAACATATATTTATTTCCTATGACATTGTCACAATTACACCATTACAACCGCAGATTTCCGGAAATGCTATGTCTTTAATAGATTTCCAGATGTAGAGACTGAAAATGTTTCCCCTTCTTCTTTTCAAAATAGCTTAAACTTAGTCAAATTTAATGGAGAGCATCTGTTAATACCAAGTTCAAGTCTTACCACAGATGGTTTATCCCAAAAACTTACCAAAACTATTTCCAAAGTTTGTGGTTATATCGAAATGTATGCATCCTTTCTAGGACACTGTATTTGCTGTGTATGTATTTCATCTGAAGGTTTACATAATTTTTTTTTCTACATGAACCCATGACTTAAGATATTAAAAAAAAAATCGTTTCTGTCCCAGAGGGCGGGTTCATCAGCGACGAGATCTTTAAGGAGCTTGTGGATGCCTTGAGCCAATACTCTGACCATGACGAAGACGAAGAGGAGGACGCAGGGGTGACAGCAGCAGAGGTTACATGGAAGAAAGAGGAAGAGCGGATGATGATGAGGAGGAGCTCAGTGGAAGGCTCGGAAGAGACTAAAGCTGGAACATTAATCAGGAAAAAAAGGAGAGGCACCACAGAGGGTGAGTATCTGTGTTTAGAGTGCTTCAGCGTGAACAAGGCACATACTGTTCTTCTTTTTTACACCATGCAGCTGTCACAAGGTCGTCCTGCCACAGCAGCTCTTGAACTGACATGGTGGCTTTAAAGCTGCCCTGTTTTCCCTTGTTTGAGGGAACTTGTTTGTTCATGACACTGATATGCCCGGACTCCTATTACAGAGCTGTGTTTGGATTTAGTGGTAACTACACACTTTCCCAACAATTGTGAAATGGACCCACTCAGCATGCATGTACAAGGATGCTATAAATTACAAGAGTACAAGAAAGTACAACCATTAAGAACAATTACTGCTGATCTGTTCTTGAGAATAGGAGACAATGTCTTGTTCGTAATTGTGTAAACACCCTTGTTGCATAATCAGTGTTTATGCATCTGTATGAAAACCTGATGTTTGGTCATATCTGGTTCACTTGTGTAACACTCCCTGCTTTGTTTCCCAAAAGTGAAAGATGTGTCCGGCAGCAAGAGGATCCCCAACGATAAGATATTTACAGCCATCGCCTCGATGTTTCCCTACAAGGGCACCACAGAGGAGCTGAAGGAAAAGTAAGAAAAGTGTAGTCAATGGGATCTATTTGCACCGCGATCATCAGCCTGTTGCTTAGCGTTCACCATGGAGATGTAAGCAGCGAGAGGTGAATTAAGAATTCTGGGTTCCTCGCTGGCTCTCATACTCAAAGGATAGTTGTGTCAGGAGCTGAAAGACCTTAGAAACATCCTATGGTGGCATAAGAAGCATTTGGCCCCTTTCAGATTTGTTCTGTTCCTTACAGTCATGTGAAAAAGTTAGTACACCCTGTGGCAGCCTGTATGAACAAATGGCTATTTAACAATAGTGAACTAATATATCAAAGAAAGAAAGTTAGCCCAAAATGCTGTTTTCAAACAGTTATTTAATTTAAGGAAAACAAAGCTACATAGCCATATGTGAATAAGTAATTGCCCCCTCCAACTGGATGTGCCAACCTTGGCGGCAACAAATCCCATCTAGCTTTTGCAACGGCAGGTGGTGATTCTTTTGCAGCACTGTGGAGGAATTTTGATCCACTTTGGTTTGCAAAGTGAAAATGTGACTTAAAAATTGGGTTAATAGCAATTAATTCGTGAATTAACAACATAAAGTTTGTTTCTGCAAGCTTTATGGATTAGGCACATATATAGAACTTTTTTCAACATCTGGACCAACATAGATATTAATATCAGATCAGTGCATCTCTTATTTCTTTAAAACTTTGACATGTTTTCCATATTCTTCACAGGTACAAGGATCTACAGGAGCCACCAGGCCCAGTAAAACTTCCCCCCCTCTGCACTCCCAACTTAGATGGGCCTTTTGCAAAATCTGTGCAGAGGGAGCAGTCGTTGCATTCCTTCCACACGCTCTTCTGTAGACGTTGCTTCAAATACGACTGTTTCCTCCACCGTAATAGCCTTTTCTTTGTTTGATTTAAGACTCTGATCAATATATTACGATTGCAATATTTTATTAATGTTTGCATTGAATGTTGCAATTCGTGCAGCAGGTAGTGAGAATGCATTGTCTCTGTTCATGAAGCTTTTCATGCAACACCCAATGTTTACAAGAGGAAGAGCAAGGAGATCCGCATGGAGACTGAACCGTGTGGGGAAGACTGCTTCCTGTTACAGGTATACCCAGTCCATGCACTCTGTGCTCAGGATATGTTCTACATCTCAGTGCTCATTGTGTTTTCCCCCCATCAACACTTCATTTGTGCAGAAAGGAGCTAAAGAGTTCGTAGATCGGAACATGTTACGGTCGCAGAGATCTCGTAGGCGACGGAGGCAGCAGCGACCCGCCGGTTCCAGCGGTTCTGGACCAACTGGGTCTGCTGAGGAAGGCAAGGAGGGTGAAAGTGACCACGAAACCACTTCCTCCTCAGGTATTGCACTCCTCTTACTGAAAGAGGGATTTTTTTTTCCATTTTAAAAAGCAGGAAAGAAAAAATCTATAATTGCAGCCACTTGGAAATAAATGTGATAATGTGTTTATAGGTAGGCAATTAAATTTGTCTGCTCTGTGGGCAGTGGCGCTAAAAGTGGGTATGCAGTGCATGCAACGCATAGGGGCACTGCACCAGAGGGGGCGTCAAAACCCCGTCTGGAGGGGGCGGCGCCGATGATGCCTTCGCATACACTTCACCGCACCCTTACACTCCTTCACCTTGCGCACATGTAAACACGTGTCTTTGTCTTGGGGGGGCGCCGATTTATGTTTTTGCATCCACCTGAATAATATGTAGTTGCACCCCTGTCTGTGGGTTTGTACAGTGCAGACACAGATGCACTGAGTCATTGAATAGATGCATCATTTACCATAAACCTCCCCCCATTTTCCTAGCTTCTGCATGACTGTGTTGCTTGACTCACTGCTCCCCGACTGAAATATGAACATTTGGCTGCAGATTACAGCTTTCAAGTCACATCCTGCTCTCTCCTCTCACATCTTCTCCCAATATCAGCTGTCTGTTGCCAACCAAAATATACCAACCATTATTTTTGCATGAATCAGCCTCCATACAAACCCTGCCTTTTCCTCATCTTTTTTTCTTTTACATTTCTTGCTTACATCTTGATGTAGAAAGCGGAAAGAACGAAATAAGAGAACCGTCCACTGGATTTTTGAATTTTTCATCTTCCTTTTAATCAGTTCCTCTCTTGAAGCCGGTGTGGGAAATTGCTGGTGCTTAGCCAGTGACTCAGCACACTTTATCACACGTGTAAAGATAATGTGGAAAAACAGATTGTTCAGCAGACTGATGCAGCGCATGAAGAAGCTGGAGCATGTGGCCACACCAGTGCTCCATTCAGCCTGTTGCCAGGCAACATTCACCTCTCCAGCTTGTCCTCGGGATGTTAAGAGCATCAGTTTTGAATATCCAAAATCTTCCATCAAATGTGTGTGTGTCAATGGAAATACAGTCATCTTGTACAGAAATGTCAATTGATAGTGTCTAATTAAAATAATTTAATATTCAGAAATCATTCTGTTATGTGAAAAAAGTGATGAGAAAATGAGAACATCGAGGTTTTTGGCTAACATGCAAAATGCAACTTGTGAACATGTAATATAATCTGACTGAATATGAGCTTTTTTGCAAGAAGGAATGAGCAAAAAAAATTCGGTATGTAGTTCTACAAAGCTGCGAATCAGCACAAAAACCTGCTGCTGTTATTGCAGTGAATATATTTTCTAGATTCTACATGCTATTAACCCAACAAAGCAGAAGACAAATGTACCATTTTATTTACAAAAAATATGTAGAAAACTTAAAACAATTTGGTCTTTCGCATAAAATCCAAATGTAATACACTGGCGTTTGTGGGCATAACAAGATACAATATTCAACAATAAAAAAAGGAATGTGTTTTAAAGGCAGGTAAGATCTTCAAAAACTTTTCCAAAAAGAATTACACAATTTTTTTCTAGCCTTTTCACAAAACCGTGTTTTTGCCTGCGTGTGTGTGTGTGTGTGTGTGTGTGTGTGTGTGTGTGTGTGTGTGTGTGTGTGTAATAGAGGGAAATTCCCGCTGCCAGACTCCAACCAAGCTGCGTCCAGGTGAAGATGAAATGGAGCAGCAGGAGTGCTGTGTGGTCCAGTGGAGTGGAGCTGAGGAGTCACTCTTCAGGGTGCTGCACGGCACATACTTTAACAACTTCTGCTCCATTGCACGTCTCATTGGTACCAAGAACTGCAAACAGGTAAAAAAAATTATACTCACATTTTGCATAAACATTTTTCTTTTTACTTCCTTACAAAATGTTCACATGTCAGTTGAAAGGGATTTCACTGAACTTGAACAACAAAAAATGACCTCGTTTTAATCAGTAAACAAAAAATAAAAGCAAAAAATGTGTCCAACTCTGCTTTATTTTACTTTTTTTTTTTCAAACTGTCTCCTGTCTTCCCACACAAATCTTCTCATACTGTAGAATTCATCATGGATTCTATGGAGTTGTATTTGGTTTTTGCAACATATAACGTCCAAATAATCCAATTTTAGACTATTTTGTCTTAAGAACACTAATCTCGAAGTTTTGGTGTTCTCTGAGGCAAACTTTAATCTTTATGTATTTTCATACAGAGCAAAGGTTTGTTTCCTATGAAAGATAATCTTGCAGATCCTTTCTGTATGACATAAACACATGGTTTCAACAGCTGTAAGAGCTTGCTTTAAGCCCCTTAAAGGCATTTTAGGGTTTTTTATGGGCTTCAAGGTAAATGTTAGAGAAACTGACTTTTTTTTTTTTACATGATTTTCATGATGGGTACGTTTAAGTTGAGCAATATAAGTTTTAAGAAGAGCATAGTCAAGCTATCGGTCTGTTTCTCAGGGTTTCTGGAGAGTTCTATGCATATTTGTGATTGAGCGATTTGAACTAAGGAAAACGTTGTGCAGAGGTTCGACGAGATCAAACCGAAATTTAGATTTAAATGACTCAAGGAACATCATCTTTCGTTAAGTGGGCTCTGCTTCGATGTATTTAAACAGCCCATCTTCAATGTTTTTGTAGAATATGTAAAATATACTAAAGAAACATACTAACATCTAACATCTGTTGTTAGAAACGTGTTTTTTGTCTTATCCTAAAATGACACATGGTTATTTGGACACAAAGCGAAAAACATACTGTAGATGTTTTTTGTTTGTTTGTTTGTTTTTGTTACATTTGAGGTAGTTCCTGTGTAATGACAGATGCATAGTGAGCTTGTGGTTTTATGGAGCACCTAATTGGACTGACTAGAACATTATATTGCATGTGGCCCCATAAACAGGGATTTTTACCATATGTGACATTTCTCATAGTTACATGTAATCTAAGTTTTAAAAGAGGCAACATCTGCTGTCATTTTAGCCTCTTCTGGGCTGCTATTAATATTTTTTTCTTTTTCTTAGTTGTATTAGTGGTCAGTGTTACAGTGTCGATCCATGTCGGAGACATTGATCCAGCCTGTTTATTTCATTTCTACTCCTGGAGGTCCCTTTTTATCAGAAAGCAACACAGTCTGTATTGGACTGTAGCAGCTCTGCTTATGTTGCGAAGGTCCCGCCTACTGCTTCACTCTGTGAAAATGCTGAAACCAGCTGCAGCGTTATGCATGTCTGTGTCCTGGGGAAGAGGCCAAATCTGGGTTTTGGCAGCCAGCGGTGGTTTGTGTGCGTGCGTGTTTGCGTGTGTGTGCAGATACACTCTTGCATCTGGTTGCTGCGCTCTGGTTGTGAAAGCAGAAGATGGAACAAAGCAGGACATTTTGACACAGATTATTTAGTAGTGTACACAGGTTGCACAATATTGCACAATGTCATTGCTATAAGGACAAAGTTGTTGTAATTGTGTGTATGTGTGACAGGTTTGTTGGTTGACATGGCTGTTGTTGACCTTTCTCACAGGTCTACGAGTTTGCAGCGAAAGAGGTTCTGATCCACCGGGTCCCTTTGGTAGATGGAGGCATCTCACCCCAAAAGAAGAAAAGGAAACACAGGCAAGTTGCTGCCTGTTATGTGGCAGTGCTTTTCAGTTATGTTCATATCCTGTGATTGAACATAACTTGGTCACATTTCAAACTCAATTTGAAAAGCAATTTCAAAGAGAGGTGAACATAAGAAAATAGGAAAAAGAGACTGCCAGTAATGGCAAATTTGCAGCATAGGAAAACAAAAATACTATCCAGTTTCAAACACAACATAATCATTCACCATTAACTCTGTTTTTTTCTTTCATAAGGTTTAGGGTTTTTTTATGTTACTGATCTGGCCTTTTAAACCCATTCAGTCACAACCACTGGTTCTTACTGGGAGTCCTTACTGTTTACTGGCATGACATGCATGCTTGTTATAAGTGATGACTGCAAAGTCAATAACTCTATGCAATCAATTATCCACTGTCCCTACAGGCCCGTTCAGAAAGAGTAAAATCAGTGACTTGATACCATCTGCTAGGTTTCTTTAGATAGAAAACGTTTTACAAATTGGATTAATAAAATAAATGTGACAGCATTGATTAATAACTAGAATTACATTTTAGTTTATGTACTCTTAATCTGTCTGTTATTTGATGATTGTATTTTTCTGTCTGTAAATAGGATCTGTAGGATCTTTTGTAAAGAGTCTTAAATTGTTTGTTCTTGTAGGTTATGGGCAAAGATTCAGCTGAAAAAAGGTAAATTTATCTTCACATATGATTTTTGCTTCTCCTTGACCTGGAACACTTAGCACAGCTTGTAGCGTTGATCGTTCTGCTTTTTCCCCCATGTTGCTCCAGATAACTCCTCCAATCAGGTGTACAACTATCAGCCATGTGACCACCCCGACCACCCATGCGACAGCTCCTGCCCCTGTGTGATGACCCAGAATTTTTGCGAGAAGTTCTGTCAGTGCGAACACCAGTGTGAGTGTCACCGTTTGCTTTTCACCTGTCAAGAATTTCTCAGAAAATGGATGATTTTTACTTGTGATGCTCACAGAAAGTATATGCATTCAGTCTGCTCTTTATTACCATGGTTATCGCTGAAACCATTTTTTTTTTTTTTTTGAGTCCTTCTTGCCACAAAGGAGCAGAAATGCAGAATGTGAAATATAAACTGTATTTTGGCAGTGGTCAGAGAGCAAATCATCTTTTGGTGGGAATAGATTGTTGTGTTTTACCACAAAGCTGCATTTATAATTAGGCTTTCACTACAGCAGGTGTGACCCAGAGAAGCTTTTCCCAAAACGTCCACATGGTGGTGGAACCAGCTTTGCAATCCGCCCTCTGGAGGGTTAACAACAGATAAAGAGAGAGGCTTGGAAAAAATCTTTTTTTTTTTTTTTCTTTTTCACTCTCCTCCCTTCTCCATGTTACGCCGCCTTTTCCCGTAGCAGAGGAACACCGCTGCCAAACAGGAAGCAGCCTTCTTTTCCACATGTGTGTGCTCCATAGACTTGGAAAGGAATCAAAGGGATGTCAGAGGCTCTGTGCCTGATATACAGCATCATCGGTATGAGTCAAACTCTTCCAGTCTGAAAAAGCTTGACACGTAAACCCCAGAGAGGAAAGGAACGGGGGATTAAAGAGCACCTCAAAGAGAAACAAAAATATGTCTGGGTTTTATGTTATAGATAGTTTTATCTTATGATTAAAACATTTAGGTTATTATTGCTCCATGTTTTTCTTTTTCTGCCCAGAGGATGTTGCGCTCTTTAAAGTTGTACGTCAGCATTTCTGCCAGTAGAGGGCTCTTTATTTGGCCTTACCAACCACGTTAAGGTACACAGGATTAGATACCTTTATCCTTCAGAACTTCCTTAAGGCTTTACTTCAACTATTCAACAAGACATCAAATATTAATAAGATACATGTTGTCTTACTTGTAGAATAGCAGCAGAATATGGGTGCACTGTGGTCACAAAGGAATGGACATGGTCAGCAACAATACTCGGGTATGCTGTGGTGTTTAAGAGTTGCTCATTTGTTACTAAGTGCCCAAGAATGTGCAAAAAATATCCCCTACATCCTTGTACCACCGCCCCCACCGGCAAAACAGATGCAGGCTTTCACATTGTTTATGCCATAGTTTGACGCCCCCATCCGAATGTTGTGGCTAAAATCGAGACCCACTAGTCCAAGCAATATTTTTCCAATCTGTTGCAGTTCATTTTTAGTCTTACCTGTTGTGTGGTCTTCTCTGTTGTACTCTATCTGCTTTAAGGTTGACTCACATGTTCAGAGATAATTTTTCTGCCATCATCTTTTTGCCCTTTGTAATCTCAACCTGGTCTGACTTATATTCTCTCATCTCTGATATCAACCAGGTATCACTGGATGTTTTTTTCTCTTTTGGACTGTCCTCCATAGACCCTAAAAAATGCATAAAACCCCAGTAGATCAACAGTTTCTGAAATGCTCAAACTAGTTTGTCTTGCGTGAAAGAAATTGCTACGGACAAAGTCACTTAAATCCGTTTTATTCACTTTTCAATGCTCGTTTGACCTTCACTAAATCATCCTTACCTTGTTTCTGTGGATGCGATTGACAGTCACTATATGTGTTAACTAGCAATTGAACAAGGAAACTGGTTCAATTGCAAAAGCAGTTTCCTTGTATCTAAATGTTTTGCAGGCCAGAACCGTTTCCCAGGCTGCCGATGTAAAACCCAGTGCAACACCAAGCAGTGTCCATGCTACCTGGCCGTACGAGAGTGTGACCCAGATCTCTGCATGACCTGTGGAGCTGCCGACCACTGGGACAGCAAAGTGGTGTCCTGTAAGAACTGCAGCATCCAAAGAGGCCTTAAAAAGGTTCATGAAAGTTAAAGACAATAGTGCTACACTAATAGTCTGATATTCAGATGTTGTGCATCATGAAAGCAAACTCCTACTTATGGCTTCTCTTTCAGCATCTGCTGCTGGCTCCATCAGATGTTGCTGGTTGGGGAACATTCATCAAAGAGCCTGTGCAGAAGAATGAATTTATCTCTGAGTACTGCGGAGAGGCAAGTCCATGCAGTTTAATTAGACTTTTTCACAGTTTCTTAGGGTTGATTTTAATTCTTTCACTTCTGTCTGCAGCTGATCTCTCAAGATGAGGCAGACCGACGAGGAAGGATTTACGACAAATACATGTCAAGCTTCCTTTTCAATTTGAACAACGGCAGGTTTTTTTCTATTCTTACTGCAATGCTTTACTATTTGTTTAAGTTGGAATTAAAAATTGCTTTGAAAGGTAGTTTGAAGTGATGTTCTGTATTAAGCTTATAAAGGTAAAACCTAATTGGAGTAGAGAAGACTCATACCGCGTTCACTTATTATATAAATTCAACTTTGTTGCACCTGGACTCTGAAGCTGTTGGCTAGTCAGAAGGAAAATACTTTTTATGTTCCGCTCTCAGCTCATGTTTGACCCAAGAAGATCATTGGTGGCATACCTCCACCAACCACCATTTCTAATGTAATTAATAAGTCAGTCTCTTCAGTAATAATCTTCCCATACAAATCTTTTTAATGGTACTTAAAAGTTCACATAAATATATAATTCTAACTCTGCAAGTCTTGAAAAATCCTGAACTAACCCTTCAATTCTGTCTCTACAGATTTTGTAGTGGATGCCACACGAAAGGGGAACAAAATTCGATTTGCAAATCATTCAGTTAACCCCAACTGCTATGCTAAAGGTGAGTGTTTCATTGGCAGAATGAATTCAAGGTTTTCTAAAGACTTTTCTTCGCTGATGTTGCTCTCATTGCCAATGCAGTTGTGATGGTTAATGGAGACCACCGTATTGGAATCTTCGCCAAGCGAGCCATCTTGCAGGGGGAAGAGCTCTTCTTTGACTACAGGTGGGGTTGAAGGGCTTTAGTTTAAATGTAGCATTAGAGAAAAATAGTCTATGCAGTCTATGCATTTTTACCTGCTCATTTACTTGCTTCTTGACTTACTGTTTCCACCCACAGATACAGCCAAGCTGATGCTCTGAAGTACGTGGGAATAGAGCGGGAAGTGGACATGACTTAGCTTTCTTTCTATATCTATATGGCCTTCGTTCAACATCTCTGTACGTTATGCAAGCTTTTTCAGCATACATAATGTAGATCAGTGAAGTGCATGTGCTGTCTTTTGACACATCACCAACTAAACGTGTTAGCCAAGTGCTTTAGCTTCAGTCAGATGCTTTTCCTGTTCGGTTGCGTAGTATTGTGGATAATAACGTTATACCCTGACTGTTCCACTGAAAAGCTTGCATCATTAACACATTTCTGCCATGAAATAAGCTCATTTATATCAATGTTCTGCAAAAATAGGCAACTAGATGACAAACCGACTGACTGAATGTAACTTTAGATGGCAAAGAAGAGGTCTTGCCTCACAAAATTCCAGAATTGGTACTCAGATCGTTGTATATACAGCAAACATATAAACATCATCATACCATGATAATAAAGTAAAATAGTAAGAGTAAGTGTCTTCCTTTAACATTTAAAAGAAGTGCCAAAAGATTATTCACTAAAAAGCTCATATAATGTGCATGTGATACGTTGTATAAAACAAACAGAGAAAGGTTATTAAGTAAGGAAAAAGCTAAATTACCCATTGTGTAACATTTAATTTACCATGCTTTTTTTGAAGTCCACTTTATTATACAGTGTCTTGCAAAGGTTTTCACTCTGCTTTCATTTGGTCTCCTGACATTGTTTTATCACATTACAACTACCAACGATGGGTTTTATGTAATGGATCAATACAAAATAGTACACAATTGCGAAAAGAAACAACTTAGCATTTCAATTATTTGGACACATATACATCCACTTTTGGGGTATTTCTCCACCAGCTTTGGACATAAACAGACTGATATTTTCATCAGTTCCACCCTGGAAAATAGTTTAAGCTGAGATTGAATGAGGAAAATATTGAATATAAACATTTAAGCATTGTATCTACTTTACAGCTGGCCTAATGTTTGCTGAAAAGTGAACTTCCACTTGCCACAAGTCAGTATTTCAGATGTTTTAATTGTTTTAATTTTATTCTGACTAGGCTTACCTGTCAGAATAAACAGGAAAGCCTGTTTCCGTGGTTACCGTGTAGATTTTGTTTTTTACAATCTACATGGTAATTGGGGGTTTTCCTCCACACATAATGGACATCAGATTATCAAACACACCACATTTTTCTTTTTTATTTGTAAAATTAATATGCATGTTTTTCCTTATGCTTTTTGTGTTGGTCTATCACATAAAATCACTACAAACGGATTTGATTCTGTAAAATTTTCAAATCTTAAAATAAACTACAAGGAGAGTGGATACATTTGCAATGCACTGTAAGTGTATTTCATTGAAAGCTTGCTCATTTCAAATGAGCTCTCCTTGAGTAGTATTGAACAACATGAAGGTTAATGCTGTGTATAGTGTATGCCTATAAAAATAAAGGTTTAACTTTATACTTTATGAATGTTGGCTGCGTCATTGCTTCCTGCCTGTTTATTACATCCACTCAGCACTTCACTTAACACAGTACAGTTTTCATTTTTAGGCTTTTTTTTTATTATTGAGATGACAGTTTGCCTTAATTTACACAGTAATGGTCATTTACAGTGAAATAATTACAAAACAAAGCTGGGGAACAACAAAAAGAATCCAAACTCTTAATACTTGTTTCAGAAAGCTTCTGTTTGGTTGTGTAGAGAAATCTGAGCTGGTCTTATCATGCCTCCTGCTTGCTTTGGTGCCTTATCATCCGTCTCATGCAAATCATGGCTGACAGGGTGTCTGAAAACACACTCCTCCCTTTGAAGGTTTTAAAATCTGCTTCTGGGAGCCAAAACATACCCATATTACAATCCCTCTACTTTGGAATACTCTAAATACGTTTTAAAAATTATTGTTTAAAGTTTAACTCCAGGATGCATTAAATAGTGCTCAGTTAGTTTCATATTTCCAGAATAAAGCAAATACCCTGTCAGTGCTGACATTTGGCTGAATAGCTCCCTCTACTGACCATTTTACTGTAATCCTCCTGACATCATCCGTAGACCAAAACTACAGTTGACGAAGTTGCTGTATTACATTTAGAGGATTGGATTGTTGGCATCTGTGCAGATTTACTCATTCTTGGTGGCCAAACTGCAAATACACAAACATCAAAAGGTCGAGTCTCACACACACATACACTCCAGGGACCACATATGTTTTTTTTTTGCTGTAAGGTGAAAATAATGTGACACTGCTAAGGTGGATGTCCATTTAACGATGAATTCAGTGAGGTGTTTACATTTAGGTAAAACTTTTTTTTTTTTTTTTTACTTTTTTTCATAATAAGCAGCAAAGCACATGTGATCTAAGTTTATCTCACATTTAAACTTTCAGTGGGGATTGTCAATGTAACAAAAACAGAAACCATTCTGTGCATCACCAACAAACCAACAGTTTCATTCCGTTTGCTCAGCTTTTGCTTTCAGTCAACGCATTACAACACGTTTTCAAAAAATATAGCTTTGCAAATGCAAGCTTTCAGATCTGTACAGCTTCATACATTATTGGCAAATCGTGTCTTTGCTGTACAGTATTTATTTTATTTATTTTTTTACATCTACTGTACATTCTTTCCCTGTATAATTTTGCACAGCTCCGCACTTCTGTAATGGAAGAAACCCATCAATGTCGTGTTCTGGGGTGCATTAGCTCTACAGACAGCAGAGCGCTGTGCATTCCTTTAACCTGAGCGATCTATGTGATACTTTCAGTACTAAGCAGTCAGTGCAGGTCTTCACTGTAGTGTCTGCTCATACATTGCAGAGTCAAAGGATTTTACATTCAGAGCACTCCAAAGCTTAAAGTGTATAAACTCTAGAAATAAAAAAAATCATTTAGTACAGTATTAAAGGTTCACATATACACTTTTACATGACATCCTATCTGCTATTTAACATTTGTAAATCCAAAAAGAAACTGTGTTAGTGACTGGAAGAAGCTTATATTATTGCATTTTACTGCAAAGTGCGCTCATGCTCTACATATGCATAGCTAGTATGTTTACTTCTTTAACTGCTTATTTCACATACACAATAGTGTTTTAGTGTTAAGGAGAGCAGTAGTGATTGATGATAGCTCTAATTTTTGGTTGCACCACACATCAAATAAAATTATTCTTAACATCCATTTGAACTAAAGCAAACCAAGCAGCAGCAGCAATGACTGTGTTTTACTAGAATGTGAAGCAAACATTTCCTGCAGTGTCAGATAAAATTATAGTATTGCACTGTGCTGTTGTGGTCCTCTGTAAAAATGTTTTTTGTGTGCGCTTCTTGTATGTCAATCGAGAGGAACGTGTTCCTGAAATTAGTCTATTACTACACACCAAATGTTTATGGACGGACTGATTTTTAATATGTATAATCCTGTCAAACTCTGTAGCACCAAGCTGCTGACAGAATGACTATAGTAAACGGGCCCAGAAGACGGAAGGAATGGAAACTTCAGGGCACTTTGTACCCAGAAAGCTTATTTTACACGTTGACTCCAGTATTACACCAACAATCCACAAGCTTCCACGGTCTGAGGTACTATTTCTTAAAGTTCTCACTCCACATCACCATGTGTTGTGAATCTGAGCAGCCTACTCGACAAAACAGCAAACTAGCAATGCTATGGCAAATCGGAACCACTTACAAGTGCCATTCTGTATAGGAAATGCACTATTATAGGCTGTAATACAACAAATATAAGCAAATGTCTCTTTTACAATCTTTGTATGGATCAAGTCCATAATCATCAGCTTTTTTACTTGGATTTGAATGCTTGCAGCTCTCCAGCTCTTATATATGTGCATTGTCAAACTCTAAGAGTACTAGCTGTTGTTTCAGAATTGGCTCATCTGAGATTGTCCATGAAAGGTATAATTAATATGGCAATCAGTCTATATAGAAAGCTATCAATGAATTTCATCAGGTTCCAAAATGGCTCAGAAAGGAAATCAATCAATAAAAGTTGGAATATGTTCCTTGAAATTCCTCTTTTTTTACCCACAGTGTTTTATCTGAACGCTCTCTGGTGAAGCTAGTGTGCGTTCGGATTAAGCTTGCTCAGATGAGGCACTTCAGTATTTCACCCTGCAATACAGTGTGAGACTTGTTGGCTACTCATGCAACATGGGGCTTGACTTCAGCTTTAAACTTACTAAAACAAGGATTGTGTAAAACAGAGCACCGGGCGTGTTTTATGACGCTCATTCGTCAAACAAAACACAAAACCAAACATAAAAAATAAAACCAAACAATTAGAAAACTTACTACAGGTATCTGTGGTTTTTTTTAAGTGCTAGTTCCCTCAATCCAAACTCATACCAACCCCCACCCATTGTCCAAAACGTCCTACGATGCTAGCCACTTCTGAATTCCTCTTCAATTTCTGGTAGGTACTTCTTTTCCCTCCTCAGGGTCTCTGTCAGTGGCCTGGAGCTGCTCGGAGACTCCAGATTTTTGGGTTCATTGGTGTGGTAACTGCCTTTTTGTTGGTAGGCATAGACGTAGATGGCATACAAACCTCCCAAGAGCAGCAGCAAAGCCAGGATGACAATAACTGAAGGATAAAAATAGTACAGTCAGAACAGGGAGACGGGGAGAAACCTTCTGCTAAATTTTTGACATTATTGAAAATGGGGAGTGTAAATTTAACTTCCGTAATAGGTAAAATTTGCACATCAGTGGAGACCACTGGAATCTTGTTCAAGAATAGAATAGTAAATATCTACCGTTTCCTGAAAGGCTTCAGGCAAATTTAAAACAATAAGGTATTGCTGAAAGCTTATCATTTGATATAAGATTTTACAGGTAAAGGCCACAAACAGTCATAGGGTAAATTATATTTGAAACAAGACAAGTGTAATTTCCCATTCAGATGTTATCTTCAACAGTATATTGGGCAAAGAAAGATGTCTGCTGTTCTATTGTTTAGATGCCTGAATGGTGCGCCAATCCTTAATAACATGCTGATGTCCTGCATTTGCATAATATCCCAGAGGCTAAGTGATCTATTAAGCCGAAACATCCAACGACGAACAGCAAGCTGCGCCCTTGCTGGACTAAATATAGACTGATCCGGTGAAGGTCTTAGACAGAGGTGGAGCAGAGGGGGTGTTTCTGCTGTAGTTTAATCCAGATATTTCAGCTTGGCCTGCTTAGCGGGGGAGACATTTTTGCCCTTTGCCTGTTATTCATTTAAGTCGCATATTGTTTGTTTTCGATATTTAACTTGATGTCTAGTAGATTATGAATCCCAAGTCAGACACATGTGTAAACATAACAAAAGAATGCTCACATATTTGTATCAACAGTAAAACTTAACTGTTATTTATAGTAAAATGCTCATCCAAGTTAAAACACAAGCAATTTCTCATGTAAGTAATCAATGATAAATAGATTTACTACAGTGATGGGACAGAGGGGCTTCTGTCTACTGTATCTAAATTCAGTCTCCAGTCAGATGCCCTACTGATCCTCAAAAGCTTGTTCCAAATCTAAAAACCCTGCTGCTATAAAGGATTAAAGCTTATAATGAAAAACACAATCACAGTGATTCATCAGGGACATCAACAACCAAATACGTTCTTAGGTTGTCAAAGTATTGGTCTTATTTTTAAAAGACGTGTTCAGTGGCAAAAAAAATATTATATTTAAGACAATGTCTGATTAGAAATATGCCAAGATATTTATAAATACTGAGGGACAAGGGTGTTCAGAAAATAAATGGATGGATGGATTTATAAATACTTACAAGTTATCCAGAACAGGCCAAGGTCATCATGGATATAAAAATATTCTGTAACACAAAGAAACAGTAAGTCAAAGATGTAAAATATATATATATATATATATATATATATATATATATATATATATATATATATATATATATATATATATATATATATTTTTTTTTTTTTTTTTTTTTTTTTTTTTTTTTTTTCCTTCAATTTACAGAAATGATGCTGGGTTTTTAAAAATCACCTATGCCAGTGAACCAGGGGTCCACCTCCCAAGGCACATAACCCAGAACAGGAGGAAAGGCCCCACAATTGGACTCAGAGACATAACCTTGCGTTGTTACAGGTGGATCTGTTTCATTTGGACGGAACAGCGCCTTCAGAGGGGCGTAGACGTTGTACCTCACTCCAGAAATGCATCCAATGAAGCCTGGAGCATTGTGCCTTTGGATTTCATAGTCTATGTCACCAACCTCTGCAAAACAAGACACAAGCTAAGAAACACACATTTATTTGATCTAATATGCTCTTTTTTATATGCAGCAAGCAAAATTTTTACCCATAACTCTGCCTAGGAACATGGACTTTGGAGAGTCAAACCTAGCATCTTCCACAAGGGTTATCTTCTCCACAATGGGTTCCATGAAATCCACCTGTGATTGTATATAACTTTTATTAAAGGCTTCTTACTC